TAGATCCAATGTTGACTTAATTCGATATTTAATTTCATTTGGTAGTGTCGCGTCGTGAATTTATTGAATGGCTCATTGGTGGAAGGTGGAGCGCCATGGTTCGAAATGGAACACCAGGATATCTTGTCGACGCAGCCCGAATTCTCTAGGACTGAGACCACGAACGGAAGACTCCCGACTTGTTATACATTTATATTGGTAAAACTCGTTTCCCCAATGAAATGCATGGTTTGGATTAAAATTTTAGCCACACTAGTCCCGAGATTAGTGGTGCGATCTGGAAGAGTATATGAACATTGATCGCGGGATCGTACCCGATGCTAAATCGCGAAACCTTACTTTCAGTGACCCAGTTAATTTTCTCGATCAAAAGCTTCTTGGTAAAGTCTATCAAGATTGCCCTTACGGCGAGAAATTTCATCCAGCAGCTGATTCAGTTTGATCAAGACGGCGTCGATGAAATCCTGGTCATGGCTTAATCTTCGAAGATACCGATTCTTGAGCTCGGATATTTTAAATTTCACTCAGATAAGCTACCCCGTCTTTTGCCGCAAGGCTGCGCTCAATCGATCGGCTACATCATTCACAAGGTTCCGCAGGTAAGATATCATGCGATTAAATGTTTTCTGAGCGGAATAACGCGATCACAACACACTATAATAATATCTGGTTTGAGGAGAGCGATATCGTGAGCCGATCTTCGATCTTCGTGCCGATATCTCCTTAAAGTCTAATGTAAGCCGAATGAAAATTTAACATAACGAGGAAGCAAAATATCAAGGCGCGCGGCCTCCCCGCTCCAGACGATTATCCCAAAGGGTATATGCACGCAGCGCATGTTTCAAACCATCGCAGTAATCGACAGTATTTTGTCGAGCGCAAATTTACTGACACAAACAAGTCTGTTCATAAATCAAGGTTGCTTGATCGATGAGAGGTGTTTAATCAACGCGGATAATCTTCGAAAAATCTATCGCCTTGTCATAGGAATAGCTTCGTCAATGGGCACGGACTACTAATCAGTGGTTAAACCGTCATCTAAAGCAACTTCTTGGACATGAGACGGAAAGATCACTGGGGGCGATCCATTACCAGTAGGAATCGCCAATGGTGGTACAATACCAGTCACGACTGCCAAAGACTATTTGTGATAGTCGCGATTGCGACAACGACTCATTGCTAGTTGCAACTCTTGGAGATAGTCCGGTGCCGGTGACGACCCTTCGAGCTAATCTGCTGCTAGGCTCAATTGTTGACGCGCGTTGCAAGAGATCGCGGTGTGTGATGAACTTTTATGTGTAGCATAAATCTACAGCAAAATATTACTTAGTCGTAGCGCGATTTGCGGTGCACACTTCTCGATCCGCTACATCAGAATCTCCACCTTCACTAACAACTTTTCCCAATTGTTACCTCAGTTCGTGCATTTTCCTGAAAAGCATGCATCGTGGTATCATCAATTCCTTCTTCTTTCTCAAATTCCGAGGCGTCTACCGCAACTAGAAGCGGATCGCTCTCCATGATCGCGACCGACAGCGGTTAGTCTCCAACGAGTCTTGGGTGATGCAATCTTGGATGATGCGATCTTAGGTGACGCGATATTGGATGATGCGATCTTAGGTGACGCAATCTTGGATGATGCGATCTTAAGTGACGCGATCTTGGTTGTTACAATCTTGAGCACCGCGGTGTTATTTTGATTGAATAACATTGAACTATCCTCCTTATACCGCCGAGTATGATGTAATTCAAAACAAATCTACAGAACAGGGTGTTACGTGGGGGCCTATCTAAACAAACGACATATATTTAGTCAGATTCAACTTTTCGTTAAATAACATGTAATGGAAATAAATTACTTCTATGTGCACCAGTGTATTTTCTCTCTCCAAGTCGGATTATTTGACGTTGTGAAGTCTGAGAAGAGCGATTGACCACAGAGAAGATAAGTCCTAGATTATTTGGCCACGAGTGCAAGATATTTTTACAACCCTGAACTGAAATTAAACGCAGTGCAATATTGCGAGACTGCTTAAGTGAACCGAAGGCTCGCGAATTTCAACTTTAAACAAAAAGATTTTGTAGAGATTGGGTGAATCATATCGAAAACTCTACAATCAACCCCGTGGTCTTGTGAATACTTCCATACGATCACCTCAAACCAATATTATACTCGGTCGAGTTTTCCACGGACTTAAGTGCAGCTTACCTAATCGACGGGTGCACAAGGTAATGAAGGAAGCTTAAGATACGATAACGGAGTACCTTCCTTGACAGTCGGTTGTCTGGGCAACAGTCGAGAGTCAGATTACCACGAACCTTGACATCGTCAGACCACCACACCTTTATGTACGTAGTACGTAGAACACCGCGATTCAGAGCCATCACTTTGTATCGCATTTATCGACACAATCATCCCTGTGCATACATTGCCCGCCCCATATACTTGAAATAGTTGTGAAATATCCGATCTTACAGCATGCAGTAAAAATGTGTGAAATGTGGTAACTATGACTGTCTTATTACCTATAGTGTCGGTGCTAAGTAACGCGTGAAGCATGCGTGATACAAAACGGGTTGCAAACGAAAGCTTATGCGATGAAATTCATTCCAATATGAATTCATATCTGTGATTTCCAGATGTATTTACAGATCATGGAAAGTGGCCCACAGTACATTTGCACCAGGACAGATTCAAAACAATTCAGTAGTGCTTTCATTAGTAAGCTGGCACTCAGCTAATAGACAGCCCCGAAGTTCCCGTTGGTCATCCCACCACGGAAAAGCCTGCTGTTTGAGTCAATATTATCAACTGTTTTCCGTATGCCGACAAAGTTGTAATACAACGAATGTCCTTACAGGTGATATCTTCAAACCATGTAATCATAAATTATTTCGTTTCAAGCTGCCGTGCTACCTTCCACCTTCTGCAGACCATGTAATCTGCTTGTTGTGAGAACCTAATTGTTATAAGTGTGTCACAATTGCTTCCATCGTTGTTTTCCCCTCACAACGGCATACTTGTCAATTTATCTAGGGGTCCGGGTGGATATCTCGAATTGAGATATGTAGGCCCACATAGCTCTGGACAGCGGAATATGACTGTGGAAATAGCGATAATGATAAACGTCATGTACTGTTTTTGCATCGCGGAGACTTACGAATGCCAATAAATTACGTTGCTTGTACATTGGAAATACCTCCTAGATGGTGCCAGTTAGATTCATATCAGTTCATACACAAAATTTAGAAACCTTGAGTGTTTCCTATGTCTACGTGAGGTGGCACGTGTGCTAATTCACCCTTACTTTACTAGTAAATACGTTAACTATTCATTCATATATTTTATATCCCATAACGTTAAACCCTCACACCAATAATCACGTTTACGCGGTTAGTATACAGATATCCATGCAGAAAGTTATCATCGCTACATCAGACCACTCGCATAAATTCGTAGACGTATGAAAAGAAAGACTATGATCATTGGACTCATTGTCAAGCTTTTTTGCTCAGCTTAACATAGACCGACAAGGATAATGTGAAGTCTTGCGCTACTTTGAGTTGCATAACGGAGGTAAAACACCCTGCGCAACCTTTGCTGTCGTTATTCTGCGCACACAGAATGCATATAAGTTGCTGGATGAATAGATTTTGAAAGACTTTGACTTACACCTCTGACACACGTCCTTTCACTTTCTGTCGCAAGAGTCTTAGTCGACACCCTCAAAGAATTGTATCAAAGGACTAGATCGATGATCTGCTACATTCTGACAGGTTCTTGCAAACGATAATGCTGCGTTCGATCGGCGAGGTTATATCTTGTACACGCAGTTTATGTGTGACAGGCTCGTTTACACGCAGCCTGGAAGATAAATTGCCCCCACGCACCATTTTGTTGTAAGCCTTTTGAGTAAGATCTGACGATGTCACTTCGGTATCTGGTCGTACTGTTTATCAGTTGTCATACAATGCTGGTTGCCCAGAATCGGGCTGAGAAGTCGCTGGTAGAGACAAAGCTGTGCTGGTTCATGTTGTCATGCGCACTGAAAAAGCCGCATCCTTCGACGATTCCTAGCAGGCAGGAATGACGACAAATAATATCAAATCATGTATAAGCTATCTGTTGTCAAGCAGTATTGAAGACATGATAACACAAACAACTGAGACTAGTTATTTTTTTTAAGTATCTGAAACGGTGAATTTATAAAAATTATTTTGATATTAAATATTGCAATAAACTATGCAGAAGTTTTTTTTCAAATTATCAAGTTGGAGTGCAATACATTTAGAGTTTATAGGGGGGATAAATCGAAATTTAAAATAACAAAGGCCTCGAAGCAACAGTTGATGGCGCGTGCGAGGATGAATCAAAGATAGTACTTGTGCGTTTATTAATCCAGATCCCGATCACTGCGTGTCGTCGCGCTGCGATCACGTAAAAATAATAGTGACTGTCTGTCTTGAGGTGTCGATTTGATTTGAGCTCATGTTGCGAGGTACACACTCCACATAAACCCGCAACGGCTTGTGTTGCCACAATGTGCCAAGCGTCCAACACAATAATCGAAGTGCATGTTGCGCCCAACTTCTAGCGCTAATACTGCCGCGCCATGCAAACCGATGAATGAGATGGATCGAATCAATTGAGGACCCACATCAGGTTGGTGCGTGTGAACTACGATGTAGCAGGCTCAGGCGACTTCTTTCATAGCTTGTTGAAACAACGCGGGGTGCTACTTCATTTCGATTTGTTCTTTGCAGCCGCGGCTTGTTTGAATACGTAACAATTCCCAGACATCATCCAGACCCACCCATCATCCCTCGATCTAGCTCTGTACATATATCCATTGAGAAGCGCTGGTCATCATTACTTCACCTATCTTCACGTTCCATCTTCTGTGCAAACTCCGAAAGTTTGGTCTTAATTCTGGTGACTATCGGATTCGAAACTAGCTTGTTTCTGAGCGCCGCCGCCTTGTCCAGAAACTTGTCAACGATTACTTCGACATCAATTCGACTTTATCCAGTATCCTTTCTATCAATAGCGCAATCGCCAATAGCGCGTCTGCGATCTTTGCTGCAAACTTCTTGATCGTGGATATGATTTTCTTGACGGTAGAACTGGCAGATATTTTCTTCCAGTACCGTGCTGACTCGTGCGGAAGATTTTTGATGGCCGCCTTGTAATTTGATGCATGCTTCCTGACTTGCACTTTTACTACAAACCACAGGGCTGCTCTTATCACACCTCTGACAGTATCTGCAAGCTCCGTGAATTTGTTCTTAGGTCTTACCGTTGAGATTTTAAGTTCCATCCAGTATGGCAAGTACTTGTTCAGGTGCTTACCGACGATTGTCTTGTACCTTCTGGCGTGCTTTTGCAGTGAAAATTTGATTAACTTGAACGCAATCTTCATTACCACGTCTGTGACCATCTCTCCAAAAGTCGTACGCGTGGTCTGCAATGACATATCAGCGCCAATTGCCTTCCAATTCGGTAACAACTTCTCTACCAGCCGATTGATAAACTCCCCCACCTTCAATGCGTGCTTTTTGACTTGCACTTGAACAAACAAAATCGCAACTCTCACTACCGTGTCTGCTATCTGCTCTTCAAGCGTCCTCTTGATTCTCATGACTTCCGGATGTGCAGCCAGCGTCTTCAAAAGCGATGCCGACTTATTCGAAAGCCCGTCGATGGCCAACCTGTACTTCGATGCGAGAGTTTCGAGATATATCGTACTCATTGTCGCACCGACCTTCATCACCTCATTGAACGTCTGTGAAAGCTCCATAAGCTTGGCCTTGATTAGTAGAGAGGATGGACTGTTGCCCAGCGTGTTCCATAACGGTGCTATCACTCCCAGAGTCTTCTCGACGACTGTTTGAAGTAGTACAGCGAGATAAGTAGCTGGCACCATCGCTGAACCCGCAGCGGTCATCGCAGCACTTTTGGCCTTCCCCACGATGTCACTTTGCGAGACCGTCGTAATAAGCGACTTTACTTTGTTGGCGAGGCCGAAGATTCTCTTCTCATCGTCCGCTTGTATCACTTCCCAGCCGTTGCGCGCACAAGGCTCCTTCAACAGCCTCTCCATACTGGCTTCGTTGACGTAGCCTTTCACCACGAAGTTCTCACGAGCGACGTCCGGCCCCAGGACAGCCCCAGGGTCAACGACGGACATGACTGCGCCGCTGCATCTTACAAGAGCCGCCAGGATCGTCACTGCGACGTACACCAGATGCATGGTTCGTGCTGTTCCCGTCCACAAGGCGAAGCACAGGTGATCGTGCCGACTGTTTGATTGAGAGTGGGGTGCCACGACTAGCCGCTGTTGCGCTTTGACTACGTTGCCAACATCTTTTACTCAGCTGAGCTGGTCCAGCCCTAAAAGCGTACGTGGACAGGCGACGGCGCGTGACAGCGCTTATTGAACGAACAACTGGGCGTTCCACTGTGAGGAACGAGTTGCAATCATTTGTTCGTTTTTACATGTTATGGCTTCCCTGGTGCCAATGCCGTAAATGAGTAGACGGACCTAAACGAGCTCTGTTATCGATTGTTGTGTCAAGCAGTGCTGCGTGTGTAGGTCGCTCGCTATCGATTGCTTCGAGAGAACCTGCGTGAACTGGTAGTGCCAAATGTGAGAGCCGCTCTAGAGTGGTAACAAATCTGGTCCCGCTTTGAACCAATTCCATACAAAAGCAGATGAACCCCCAGAATGTGCTATCTGCGACAATTGTGATTTCGCCTACAATGTTTGTGCTACAAAACCTGTATTCTTCGGCTTAAACAGATGCTCAACAGCCCCTTTTGTACCATGTAGTGTCTCATCTGCTAGCCCTTAACTCGTCTCACATCGCTGCAAAGTTTCAACATCAGGTAGTCTCATCCATCTACTTGCTTTACCGGGCAATTTAGGACGCCCACGTCATCCGCTGCCCCTCAGCAGCCAAAATGAGTGAAAAACATTACTGCTAATTATCATCCTTAGCTGCATTGAAAGCCTCCACGGCGAGGTCCTTTCACGTGACTTTGCGCAATTCCGGCACAAACGTTTGTACAGGTGCTTTGGGATCATCAGATGATATCGGCAATCAGCAGTTTGTCGCGCTTAAATGCCGAGATTGTTGGTATAAGTCTTTGATACCCCTCTGGTCCAAAGTTAATCTTTAGCCGACACTAGACGCCAGAAACCTCGAGGCAATCCGATATTGCCGCCCTTTCAATTATTTTAGACGGCTTCGACATATTCGTATACCAATGCGCGTACAGCAAACAAGAGAGATGTGTCGACCTGTCTTCTTGATTCCTACAGTAGCCGAAGACAACATGCCACTCGAGACTCGAGAAACAATGTCCTGGCTGCTTCTTTTCAGTTCACAGGTGTCCACTCTAGCACTGATCCTGGTTTGCCAAATAGAACCCAGCCAGTCAGGATCGGTCATTCCTATATATCAGAGGTGAAGGTCGGTTTGAAAAAAACTTTCACCTTCATCGTCAGAAATGAGGTGGGGAGAAGAAAAGAAGAAGAAGATCAATATATACGTCATGCACACAGCTGACACGTTTCCCACAGCATATGAGACCCTGCTACTACAGACACGACCCTGACTTTATTGTACTGCGAATGAAATGCCAAAGCATGACTAACCTCATGCATGCGCATGTAGTCCTGGAACCATGACTCAATGTACCACAGATCCAGTTGCAAGCCAACTGATGAAATCTTTAGTCTATCAGCTTGACCAATTGTTCTCAATTTGTTCTACCAAGCCATCAAACGCTAAGTGAAAGCCTTTTTCCAAACATGTGTCCGTACAGTGAGGTGTCAAAACGCGGTGGGCTCGTTGGATGCCATTGCCCTTTGTGATTGGCAAGTGAAATTACGCTATATAAATATATACTAAGGTACTGCTTTTGAAGCGTAAATTCTTATATATCTCCTTTAAATTGTTAAAAAAAGACTTTTATATAAATTTCAAAGCGTCGGGTGTATGAAAGACGTACGCAACAGGCGACGAGAAATTATCAGCAATTAGTAATTGTATGTAGGAAAACAAAAAGACTGCATCAAACGATCACGAATTAAATAATGCACCACGAAATGAACAATACCACTAAAGAGAAAAAATGGTAAAAAAAATAGAGCACTGTTTCAAAGTGCACTATATAATCTAAAAATAAGATGTTGCGCCAGACAATGCAAGATAAACAAATGCTTTACTGATGTATAATATACGTCCGAGTATTCGAAGGATCACATGTATAAATATCGACATGTTAACTGACATTCTCAAATGGTCATTTATAATAGCTTAAAAATATTATTTAAGGCGATTAGGGGATGGCCGGTCAGTCTACTGCATCCATTAAGTAATTGTCGTACACCATACATGCCGTTGGTACGTTAGTAACTCGACTACATGATCGATAACATCTACGATGCGAAAATGATTATGTAATGTCCTCACAGGCAGATGGAACTGGTTAAGCATCGACTTTGATAATATTCTAAGCTATTGCACGAACCGTTCGGTGTGAACCTAGAGTCCCGATCCGGTATGATTACGTTTACTATGTCTGCAATGAAGATTGCAGTATCGCATATATCTTCACAGCATCTAACTGCAATATATAGAGCTACACTGATACCAAAACCACCACCACCAGCCTACATATATTCCTTGGCGTCTATTCTAATACTCAAGACTGCGTGTTTTCGTGGCGTAGATCCGACTTAAGGGTTTGCAAACACCAACGTGACCACCTGCATTATCATCTAATTAATATCGTCAGCTTCTTAATATCGTGTCTCAGCTTGATTGTGTTTTCCCACCAGTCATATCGTGCTGACTCGGGTCGTACCTTCGACATGTTGATCACATAAAGGAATAAGTCATTCGACAACACCATCCCATCATCTCTATAAGTGACTACACCACTAGGACGACAGAATTGCATGAAGTTATTCTAAAATGTGATAATGTGTGTAAGCAATATCATCAAACTATCAGCAACAAGTTGATACCACGCTTGGCGTTAAGTATCATCAAACGATCAGCAACACTATGATATCACACTTGCCGTTAACTCACGTACTCGTCTCAACTCAAATGAAGGCCGAAGATAAAGATTACAAAATGCTCATAGGGTATTTTGATTGTGGGCATGTATAACGATATTGAACGATTTGACAACAAGCAGGTGAATGTTATCTCTTACGGTATACACGAGTATATGTTTAGCTTGTTATTATAGTCCACATTTTCTTTCTAGGATGTATGTGTTATACGCGGGTGCTTTGTTTACCTTCTCATTTGTTTCTCATATTAATTTGCTGAGTTAAATGGTGTACGTTGAACCTATTCGACTAATGTGTGCATTGTTCGTCCAGCCTCCTTACAACTTTTGCGCACTTGAGTGAGCGAGGCACTTGTCTACACTATTGTCTTTGTAGCATAGCTTGAGCAAACAATAATAAATATGAATGAATTGTATTTACACTTATTAGCACTTTTGGTTTGCCTATCGACCATATATTAAGCGTAATATGACAGCGATGTGGGAGCCCCAATGTCAAGCCACGCATGAATAATTTAACAATAAGTTCAGAGCAGAATGGTCCGCGGTCAAAAGATCGAGTCCTATTGTTGCCAGTCAGTCCAGAATTGTAATGGTAATCGCACTGAAGAAGAAGAAGCAGCTTATTGCTGATTCTACGATATTGCAGAATTGATATAACGCGGTCGAAAAAAAGGTGGCATCACCTTTTGGCAATATGTGCAACTTCCAGATATGTCGCAGAAGCAGGGCGCTGCAGCATCAAAGGTTAATATTACTTTGTGATAATTCTTCTGTTGCCGTGCCAACCCAGATGAGTCGACATAAAGGCCTAAAACTGACATCTGTTTGCTAACGCTAACAAAAGAGGGCACAGAATCAAATTTATGGATGAACTTGACGACGCGATCCATTAAATGCGAATTCACGTCGACGCGGTGAATGCAAAGCTCGTACTTACTAGTTTAAAAATCGCCATAATAGCAGGCATTTCGTTGCTGAGCTTTATGAATTGATTTAGTTATGTCGAAAGCGAATGTCAAGGTATCGACCAGCCTATCGCTTGGCGTGCTGTGCGCAATTGTTATATCAAGTCGAGTTCCCAGACTTTACGCAGCGTAATCGGGACAGGCTTACGCATATCAAACACTATAACGGGTGCTCCCGTTACATGTCATTGCCATAAACAGAGACAATGCTAATATTTAAAATCCGTACGATTCATCGATACTTAATTTTGTTTAATAATTGAAGAAATAGTCTTTTGGAAAGTAATATTCGGTGACGCCTTACTCATTTGCTGATGTTGGTCAGTATTAAAATTAACTTCAATAACATATCATGATGGAAAATTTAGGTTAGCCGTTCGCGATCAGCTATTTTTAAACAAAGTTGTTTATTGTTTAATAAGTAATAGCAATGGAGGTTCTGTAGTATAAAATGGCAATATCTGGTATTAGTCTATATTCATGATTGCAAACGAATTCATTTATAAACATGTCATGCCTCTGCACGTACACTATACGTAAGTCTTTAAGCAGGAAGATTCTTCCACTGTGCCAGTGACGTTAGCTTGTACTTACGCAAGACACGCAGATTTTTTGCAAAGCAAAAACTCGATTGTATCGAACAAAGGCTATCATAAACAAACATCTGTTATTCTGTACAGAGGGCAGTTGAAAAACCCTAGATACGCTAAAGTTTTAGTCGAAAATATACCCGCTTGATCAAGATAAATTTGGGCCATTTAAAGGAATGAAGTCAAAGACGGACTCGATTTTACTGAGAGCCAATATATTACTGTGAATCATAGAAGCAAGTTTGATATCTTAGGCTAATTTCATTGGTAACAACAATCTTATATGCTTCTCATGACATAACTGATTCGGAGCCTCAGTCTATATATAGACAATCCGGCAAGTAGCCTAGAAGAATTGCATCACACGCTTAATCTATAACTCCCTGATGCAATGATCAAACTTTATGAATAGAAGGCGAGAGTGAAAGGAGCTTTCAGCGAAATTGCGACAGCACAGCGTCGATGTTTTAAGATCCAACAGAGCGTCAAACCCTACATTTATCACGGAAAGTAAAAAGGTTTCGTTTACGTTACTCATACCACTTCAGGATTGTAATCTAGTTTTTGATAGGATACATGTCACCGCACACGAGAAAAGAGCTATA